CGGAAACCCTGTACAGGGTCGCTATGAGTCGGAACCGACTCGACGGCACATAACAACAACATACGAGGTCACTATGCGTCAGAACCGAGTAAGGCACTTAGCGACAACTCACAAAAATACACTGTGAAAGCACACAGTACATTTGAATTAAAATCAACCCATGATGTCCTGGTGCCCCTGAACATTCTGAGAGTTTCGGGAAGCACTCATCTAAGACACGGAGGAAGTAGCACTGCTGCGCGCAGGCAGCTGGAAGTCAGGGCTGGTCAGCTACACCGCGGGCACCTTCACAAAGCGCAAGTCCACATCCCAATCCTCTACGCAAGCAAGGCCTGGGGACAGCAAAGAGGTACGGGAAACACGCACTGCCATTGCACTGCAAACCTGTCCGCTAAGGGTGACCAGAGGAAGAGGAGCAAGTTGATGTGAGCATAATAAGTTTACCTGGCGATGTAGATCATGCAATATACCAATCACTTACCTGTGGACCTGCCAGCCATTTTGACCCGAGAATGAAGCGTTGCCTACTGGGTAAGTCCTGGAGGACGCGCGGTCTCAGCGCGCAGGCGCATAACGTCGCAGCATAAAGCGTGCTAGGTCATCGAGGGCGACTGGTTGCGCAGGCGCAGCTATGGTTGCTGGCGTCGGGTGTTTGTTGTGAGTGGCTGTTGTTGTTACGTGCCGTGGAGTTGGTTCCGACTCCTAGCGACCCTGTACAGGGTTTCCGAGCCTGTACTGTAAATCTTTACGAGCAGAAAGTCTCATCTGTCTCCCGCATAACAGCTGGTAGTTTCAAACTGCTGACCCTGAGGTTAGCAGCCTGATTCGTAATCGCTACTCTACCAGACCTCCTTGGCCTAAATTACTTGAGCGTTTTCCCCAAGAAGTACTCCTGGTAACTTGAAGGCAGGACTGTTGTTAAGTGCCATCGAGTCAATCTTGACTCATAGCGACCCTGTACGGGGTTTCCGAGGAGCGGCTGGTGGTTTGAACCGTGACTTTCTGATTCTCAGTCCAGAACCTGTAATCTGATGACTGGACAATAAGCCAAGAATTGGGAGACCTGGGTTCTGTTACCTACTACCTATGAGAGCTTGGGCGGCCAATCTGAGGTGCCTGTTGGGAGCAAAGAAGAGTGAAGAGAATTGTACCATTGCGGGGGTTGTACTGATGCAGTGAATCAAAACGTGAAACTGATGTGCTCTCTGAACTATTTCAATCACAATAAAAGGCTCCAAAAAAAAAAAGTTCAGCTAGTGTTCGAATGAGTTACTGCTATTTATGCCTGCAGTTCTACCGCGACCCATCAATAGCTACGTTGTTTTCTACCGCCTCGGGATATGGGTCGGTACAGAACTGACCTCTGAAGGTCTATTGCCATCTCTTTTCTTCGTGCATCACTGTGCCCTCACCACTTCTTATGTTACTCAGTCCTGTATGTTGTTGTTACGAACTGCTGTGGATTTGGTTCCAATTCATGGTGTGACCGGTGGATTTGAACTACTGAGTTTGCAGTTAGCAGTCCAATGCTTATCCTGCAGCAGCGTTACACCAGCACTCTTCAGCCCTGTGTAGAACACTGAAGACTGATGAATGCCTGCTCCCAGTCTGTATGGACAGAGTGAATGATGAAAGATGTGAAGAAATGCATTTGTACATTGATACATTGTTTTACTAAGGGTGTTATTGTTGTTAGTGCCGTCCCTATATAGGATTTCCAAGGAGCGGCTGGTGGGTTTGAACCATCAGCCTTGAGGTTAGCAGTCCAGAGCTTAATAAAATCTTTCTCCTCACCCTTTAAATTCCAGCTTCCTGGTTGCAGGGTTAGGAAGACGTCAAGATCTAAGTTAAGGGATCAGATGTCCAGAACTGTCACAAAATCCAGTTTTTATGCATTAAGCTGGCATGGTGCTGTGGGCTAATACGCTGTGCTGCAAAGTCAGTTTGAACCGCAAAGTCGACGGTTCAAGCTCAGCAGCTGTTCCTTGGAAACACTATACAGGGTCTATGAGTTGGAAACGGACAATGCAGTAAGCTTAGAGAGCCTAGGTATTTGCTGGTAATCTTTGGTGTTAAATTAAAAAAATAGTCTTGGTTTTCCTCCCTCCTGGCACATAGTAGGACTATATTTCCCTGTTCTCTTTAAGTTAGATGTGATCATGTGACACACTGGCCAAGAAAATGTGAGATTTATTATTTTTAATGACCATACCCTTGCACTAGTCCTCATAGAGGATTCTTTTGTAAAATAATATTCTGTTGTTTTTTGATAAACGTTTATACAGCAAATTAAAATCCCATTTGTACATTGGTACATTGTTTTACTAAGGGTGTCACTGATGTTAGGTTCTCTATTTAATATGGAATCCTGGTATGCTGCTGTGGGTTATGTGCTGGACTGCAAGGTTGGTTCGAACCACAAGGTCAGTAGTTCAAGCTTACAAGGAAACCCCTATACAGGGTCAGAGTTGGAATTGACTCAATGGCACTTTATCTATTGTCAGAGCCCTGGTAGCGTAATGGACTACAAGTTGTGCTGCTAACTGCAACGTCAGTAGTTTGACTCTAGCAGTGGCTCCACAGGAGAAAGATGAACAGCCTCAGAAACCCTATACGGCATTTCTATGAGCTAGAACCAACCCCACAGCACACAACCATCACTATCACTATACCTATTGTGGCTCTGTATGATAAACATTAGACTGCAAACCACAAGGTCAGCAGTTTGAGCCCACAGCTGCTCTGTGAGAGAAAGATGTTGTGCTGGGCTGCAAGGTCGGCAGGTCAAGCTCACCAGCTGTTCCTCGGAAACCAACTCATTGGCACTTAACAACAAACCCTATACAGGGCTGCTATGAGTTGGAACTGACTGGATGACATTTAACACACATATTGTTCAGTGTCATTGTGTACATTTTCCACAATGTGTCAACATTGCCTTTTTCTGTTCTGGTTGTCCTGTTTACATGATCTAGCTTCCCTATCCCTCCTCCCCATTACTGTTTCATCTTTGTTTTTGAGTAAGTGTTGACCATTTGGTCTCACAGAGATGATCTTTTTAGAAAAGCACAGTACTCGGGGTGACCTAATTTTATACACCAATCTGTTATGTAGCTAAAAGGTAACCTCTGGCTGTGATTTCAGAACATATTTTAAAGGGTATCTCAGGATGATAGTTTTGGGGGTTATTCTAAGTAAGCCTGGCATTTAAGAATTTGAGTTTTGTTCTACATTTTCAATTTTATCAAGGGCCATTTATTGTGTCCCTGGTCAAAATGGTTGGCAGTAGAATCCGGGCACCATCTAGTTCTTCTGGTCCCAGGGCAGATGAGACCATGGTTTGTGTGGGCTATTATTACTGAAAACTAGCTGCTTTTAGTTTCCTTCCTCTTTTACTCCAGATGAATAGAGACAAATAGTTGTATTTTAGATGGCTGCTTCCTATAAGACCACAGACATTGCCTGGTAAAGCATTCTTGATTGGGTCCCTTCTCATATACTTTTAGAGAAATGTACGCCCCTTTGCTGTCTGAACAGTGTTTGATGAATGGGCTATTACTAATCAAGGCAAGAGAGGTTCTAAGACAAAGAAAGACGAAGTCGGTTGGTTCTCTATTTGATCTCAACTCTTACCTTCCACTTTGTTGTATTGTGTTTGTTGATCTCTTCAGTAGACTTTCTTCATGGTCCATGAAGGCATACTCATCACTGTATTCCAGCAACTCTTGGCTTTGACCAATTACAATTTCTCATTGTAGGTTTTGACATCCAGCACACCACAGAGCCCTGGTACACAACAAACTACTCCAAAGTTAGTGGCTTAAAATACTTTAGTTTCTCCTAATTTCTGAGGACTGACTGAGTTCAGCTAGGTGGTTCTTCTGCTCCAGGTGGAATCTGTTTGGCAGGAATGTCAAATGGCTTCTTCAGTCGCCTTTGGTTGGACTGGTGGAACAGCTGGGGCTTGGCCAGGTATTTCTCTCTTCCATTTCTCCAAAAGGTTCAGGTTTATAAGAGTAAATGTTTAAAATGGACACATGCCAATGTGAAAATGCTTTTTAAGCGTCTGCTTTAAAAGTGTGGCAGTGTGGCACACCACATTGGTCCCGTTGTGCAGGGGAAGCTGTGTAAGAATGCAAACACCAGATGTGGTTCACCTGGGACACTAGGCTACACAGGCTGCTATTCAGAAGGCAGGTAACTGAAGTCATTGACAAATAAAAATGCTTACAATTCAGAGGTTCAATCATTTGTCCAGAATTATTTACTTAGTAAATGGGGGGCGGGAAGCATAAATTCATGCACTAAATCTTATACACAGAATAAATTCATTTATTATGACATTTTTACTACGCCTCATTGCTCTCTACTTACCTTGAAACTATTTCCTCCCTAACCCTCTTCTTTTCCAAATCCTCAGGAGCCAATTGTGATAACTTTGAATATACCTGCTCAGGTAGACAAGATGGGTAACAATATGGTGTTGGTGGTGGTGAAGTGCCATTGAGTTGGTTCCGACCCATAGCGACCCTGTGCAGGGTTTCCGAGGCTGTAAATCTTTACGGGAGCAGAAAGCCTCATCTTTCTCCCACAGAACAGCTGGTAGTTTCGAACTGCTGACCTTGGTAACAGTATAGATAACCCAAAACGGGAACAAGTCCTGTAGCACTGATCTAAATGAGTAGTAATATTAGATGAATATCTAGTGCCAGTGAGTTGGTTTTGACTCCAAACGACCCTGTATAGGGTTTCTAAGGAGCGGCTGGTGACCTGGGAGTATAAGAAAAGTCCTGCAGCCTCCTCATCTTCAGCATTGGATCAGGGAGATGGGAAAATCAATGGCACATCAACAGCCTGCAGTAAACCAAGTCTCTTGTCTAAGCTTGCTGCATTTCTGGTTCTCCCCTTCCCGAGAAGACGGCAATGGGTGAGCCAAAGAATGGTATCTTAAGGAACATGTTTGAAGGATCCACCTGAAGTGTACTCAAGCAACTGCTTTCAATATCAATTGACACTTGAGGCGTTTATTTTAAAGTCATTTATTTTCATATGGACTCACTTTATATTATTACATTTTAATGTTTATCAAAAACTAAAGAGTCTTTAAGAATTTCTCAAAGTCCTGTACTGAGGCTTTGGCAAGCTCTTCACAAAATATTTCATCTGGAATAGATACTAACTTGTCCAAAGAAATATAGTTAGGTTTTGCTGGGTCATACTGTGCTCTTCCTAAGTAGGAAAGAAACAAATGTCTTTCTTTGATTTTAAACAACTTTGTGTTAAATACCTAGGAAAGAAAAAAAAAAAAGTTTTAAAAGGCATTGTGTACCAAAAGATGAAATATAACAAGTTTATTCTGTTAAAAGCAAATCCTTAGGCCTCACTCTAGACCTCCTCAATCATGAACTGTGAGAGTGGGGCCCACAAGCCTGTTTTACCAACCCTTCCCAATGACTCTGACTGAGAACGTCTGTTATAGATCAAGGTTTAGGGCAGCAAAAAAATTCTGTCAAATGTTATAGTCTGTAAAGCTGCTTCTTTTTTTTCCTTTTTTCAAAATTCCTGAAGCTACCCTTCACTAGAATCAAAATAAAATAAACCTCACTGAACTCCCAAGGGATAGAATTCAAGTGTTGGCAACTTTAAAAAAGAATCAGAAGTAGGCTGTTCCTGTGGCCAACTGCAGGAAAGACACAAGAGCGGAAGGCATGGTCAGGCTTGACAGCTGTGATGTTTTAGAGAAATCTGTGTGTCACCCAGGTAAGGCCCAAATGAACCCCACTCAGTGTTGTGTCCCGAGTTCTTCTCTTGGCTATATTATAGCTACATTAGGACCACTAAAAAAGCCACATAGCCTGTAGACCTCGTTCCCTATGTTTAAATGGAAACAAATAATTACAGACCATTAGGAAAAGATAGAACAAAAAGTGATTTCTGGAAAAACTACAGTGAGACAATTGACCAAAACCCCACAAAAGGACCCAAACCACCCCCAAAACCTCCTTTTTCTGTCTCTGCAAAACAAATTCCATGCTGTTTTGGACTGAATTGTGTCCCCGCCAAATTAACTCATATATTTCGTAGTGGTTACGAATTGGGCTGTGAACCACAAGGTCAGCAGTTCAAAACTACCAGCTGCTCCGCGGAAGAAAGATTTACAGCCTCAGAAACCCTGTGCAGGGTCGCTATGAATGGGAACCAACTCCACGGCACAGAACAACAACAACATTTATATTTAACACATATATAGTAGATATGCTAGTTTGGCTAAGCCGTGATTCCCAGTATGGTATAATCAGCCTCCACTAGTGACCTGATGATCCTGCATGTTGTAAACTCTAACCTCTACGATGCTAATGAAGCAGGATTGGAGGTCTCTATGTTAATGAGGGAAATGGAGTGGCTCCATAGGATAACTCTAGCCTGTGTACCACACAATGTCTGCAGTTAGAGTCCACCAGTCGCTCTGCAGGAGTAAGGAGGCTTTCTGATCCTGAAAACATTTAAAGCTCTGGAAACCCTATACAGGGTGACTGTGAGTTGAAACCCAGTCAAAGACACTTAACAACAGCAACAGTATGTTAATGAGGCAGGGTAGGATCTACAGGATTTGGTTGTATTTTGAGTCAACCTCTTCTGAAATATAATAGTGATTAAATAAGCAAGCTGAACTCAGAGCTAGGAATGAAGCTTGTCCTTTGGACCTGTGGTTCCAGTACAGAGAACCTCCTAAACCCAGGGGAAGATTGAAGCCAAGGCACAGAACTCTCTGAGGACTGCAGGGCCCACAAATCCTGAAAGGAAACAATGACCCTCTCCCAGGGCCAATAGCAAGAGAAAGCCTTCCCTTAGAGCTGCTGTCCTGAACTTGGACTTCTCGCCTCCTAAACTGTGAGACGAGGAATTTCTGTTTTACTCAGCCTCTTGTGGTATTTTCTGTTCTAGCAGCACTAGATAGAAATAAGGCCCAAGCTATTCCACCTTCCTTTGATAAGTAAACTCTTGTTAGCACATTATTACTGCTCATTAAGATAAAAGAAACAGAAAGGACAGTGACTCTTGGCTGATAAAATTATCATACAACATAGGCAAAACTGAAGCTCTCAAACTGTTATCTGTTGTTGTAAAGTGAATTTGAACTGCTGACCTTGTGGTTCACACTGATCTTGCGGTCCAGTGCTTTATCCAACAGTGCCACATCAGGTCTCCAATGTATTATCTAATAGTCTCTTAAATATAATACCTTGAAGCATTTATACAGCCTATAACCAGGTATTACACTTATTTCTTTAATGGTTCATGGCTACTTGATTATGAAGACATTTATGTGATCTTTTACAAGCAAAAGCTATTATCGCTCAGATTGAGAGTTTTCCTTTCATTTTTGGTTGTTTACCACCAGGGTCTACCTTTGCTATTGTCATTAAAATTTCATCCAATTAGTGGCCATCAAATGTCCAGAGATTTAATAAAAATTGTAAAAAGCCCATAGTTATGAGAATTAAAGTGACAGACCCCACTGTGTAATAAGGTGGACTCCACCTTTCCTTCTTAGGAACCCCCAGAGGCAGGGGAGACATAGGATTCTAGGGTCTTCTGCATATAACTTCTTTCCTTAGACTAGTAATTTTCTCACATTCATTATCCTAAATCTACTTTTGCTATCCTTTACCTTCCGTGATCTCTGCTTTGAAATAACTAAATTAACCAGTTATAAAATCATAATTTTTTTCTCCATTTTTAATTAGCCATATGAGCCAACCAGAACAATTATTTGCATGAGAAAATAAGTTTCACACTACTGTTTTTAAAGTACCAGACAAAAAAATAAAGAAAGCCTGAGTATCAGTTTCCTCAAAGCCCTATTGTTAGTTAAGGTATTTTCAAAGAATGAATTTGTTGTTTTTCAACACTATAACCCAGATCCCTAAAAGGCTAGAATCCAAACTTGGAAGCTGTAGTTCTAGGACTAGGGTCCCAGAAACTGGGCTTTAAACATGTGATTTGTCCAGGGTAGAGTTTCCTCTGCAAGGAAAGTTTCTCTCCATGGTTTAGGCTCTACGCATTCTTCATATGACATGTCTCAAACGTCCCTTCTTAGACTGGCCGCATTTCCTAGTTGTTGCCAGCTTTTAAACTTAACTGCCTGAGTTTCCATCTTGGCTCTGGGTAACAATTTCTTTGGGCTTCGTTTTTGCACTTGTAAAATGGGAATAATAATGCAATAAAGCCTGTGACATACCAAACCTGTGTAAGGTTGAAATCTAAGAAAGAAAATTCAAATAGTCATATTTTCCATTAATTGAGAAGACAAACGTGTAAAGACTTTTTCCTGGTGTAGTGCTGTAGGACAGGCACTGGACTGCTAACTGCAAAGTTGGCAGTTCAAATCTACCAGCTGCTTCTGGGAAACCCTACACTGGGTCACTATGAGTCAGAACAGATTCAACAGCAATGAACAAAAACAATGGCAAAAAACAAGCCGATCCAGGTGAGTTTTGGCTTTCCAGGCTTCACTGGTTATTGTAAGGAGTAAATACACTTCAGTAGGAAAGGCAGGGCTGGCAGACAGTAAGTACTCAATATGCATTATTACTATTTCCATACTTACCACTTCTAAATAAAATAAGTAGTTCTGTTAAAGACCCCCACAATGTAAAGAAATTACATTTTTAAAAACATGTCTTCCATACAAGATTTTAAGTCTCTTAAGAGCAAGAGCCATGTCTGATTTTTTTTCATCCTTAGGGCCCACACAGTGTCTGGCATGTGGTGGATGCTAAGTTATGCAGTAAAATTATACTTGGACCATAGTTGAGAAAGATGTGGCCATCTGCATCTGTAAAGATTTAGTCTTGGAAATGCTATGGCATAATTCTACTTTATCCCATAAGGGCATGAGTCAGAATGGACTTGACGCCAATAGATTTAAGGTTGGACAAGGACAAGATCAGATTCTCTCATCATAATCTAAGTCACTGAACATCTACCAGGCCAGAAAAATGAAACTGGCATTACAATTTTAGTTGATGATTAGCTGCTTTACAACTAACAGTTCCACAGACTTAATCTTGACAAGACATTAATTTGCACAACTGTAGGTTTCTTACACTTTTACTATACATTTGTTTATATTTGATGAAATAAGAAAAGTCTACATAAACATCCCATTCTTAATGAAGTATGATATGCAAATCAACATTGCTCTTTCTGAAAGAAATGGGTAAAATGTAAGCTAGTTCTGCAAGTTGTATTAAAGCTGTATTTGTTCCCATCTTGATGCCAAGTACAGGAACACACCTAGCAAACAGGAATCATATTAATGAAACTCCAATGAGGACTTACTGAGGAACTTTTTACATGGAAACAAGGAAACGGGTAAGAAGAATGATTTTGATGATACTCAATCACTTCTTCAAACACTACTAAGTGACATGGAACTGACTTATGACAATGAGTGAGTGTGAGTATTAAGTGACAGGTACAGTTCTAGGCAGAGTCAATTCGGACTCACAGGAAAATCAATGGTGAATAAATCAGACAAGGTCTCTGCTTTCAAACACGCTTGTGAACAAGCAGATAGATACTGTCACTTACTAGGTGAGGAAAAGGAAAGACTGCTTAGCTAAAAGTAAATAACAAAGGCTTTGGCATGAGTTGTAAACCAAAACTATTTAGGCTTTTGTAGGGGATCATTACAATATGGCTTGTTAATGCATACAGATTGGTGATGTAACATTCAAAGGAGCTTTAAGGGACATGACCTGATTCAAATTTAAGTGGAGACAAACGTAAGAGAGAATACATTAGATGTGCCTAATCCTATTAGGTAGAACCAGGAACCACAGGGAAACAAGCTAATGGCCTCTTTCTCCTCAGGAGAGGATCACACAAGTCCCAGAAACTGTCAACTTTGGTAGATGAACAGGTAGTTGGAGAGCAGCGTGGCTACAGTGCAGTGAGAGCTGTGGCCGGCGTTACCTGTGGGAACCTGACGATGATGTGGTGAGGGATACTCATCACATTGTGCACGTAGTCAAAAGTCTCAGTGAGTTTCCGTTTATTTGCAGTTAACATCTTTGGGATCCTGGTGATCATATGCTGAATTTCATTATGTTTAAAACCAAATTCAAGACGATAAACCTTTAAAAAAAAAAGTGGGGAGGAGTTGCTATGAATCATGAATAGAAATATTCATTTTGGAACTATGCCAAAGGACACACTGATTTGTTTAAATTGAAGGCATTTTAAAATCTGGGAGACAGTTGTGCCAATGCCCTCAAGGGATTAAGCTTCCTGTTTCAGGGGGTAACATGGTTCTGAAGCCTTCCACTGAGAAAGAGCTCCTCATACCCATGGTGATCATGATGAAGATAACTAAATGGAGAGATCGTAATTAGGAGATACAGAGCACTAATGGGCATGGTGGGGCTGGTCAGGCGAGCTGCATGGGCCTTACACTACGCAGATCAGCTCTCAGATTCTCTACATATTTGTCTGAAATATAGCATGCCAAAATTCCAGGTGGTAGTGGTGGTTATGTGCCGTGGAGTTGGTTCCGACTCATAGCGTCCCTGTACATGGTTTCCGAGGCTATAAATCTTTACGGGAGCAGAAAGCCTCATCTTTCTCCTGCGGAACAGCTGGTAGTTTCGAACTGATGACCCTGAGGTGAGCAGCCCAATTCATAACCACTACGCTACTAGAGCTCCTTAAAATTCCAGGTAGAGGTGATAAAACCCAACACTCAGACTTGAGTTCGGTCCATAGTGCCCTAGGGTCCCATGCTCTCATTATCAGTGCATCATCCCGATTCCTGGAGAGCAGGGAGGGGTATTTCCTTTAGGGATTGACTATGAAACACTTGGACTTCTGGTGTGGCGTAGGATCACCACTAGACTGCTAACCACAAAGTTGGCAGTTCAAACCCACAAACTGCTCCTCGGAAACCCTATACAGGGTCACTATGAGTCAGAACCAACTCCACTGCACAACAACACACACACACATAAAACACTTGGAGCACCTCAGAAAACAGACCCTATACAATAAATTCAAGTATCAGTCCAGCTTTATATACTATACACTAACTAGTCAGCTGTCCTTGGCTTCATACTCTTCTCCTGGAGGAAGAGCAATAATGAGTGGCTGGTACCTTCTGTGATAGAGCTAGAGTTTGCAATTGGCAAAGGGTACCAAGGGTACCATAGCTTGTCATGAACCACACAGTCAACAAAGCACAAGGAGAGAAACGTGCTAGTGATACGCTCCTCACTGAGGAGTATTTACAGGAGTCTTTGGCATTCAGACTCCAAAACAACCGCTCTCCCTTCAATTTAATACAGACTCTCAAGCTAAGGGACAGAAGCAATTTCCAGGTATCAGCCAGAGTTATGAGCATCAACACCTGCATGGTAACTTATACACTAACACCTGGTCAACAAATGAAAGTGCTACTAAATGAATCTGTTGTTTGTTAGGTGCTGTGGAGTCAGTTCTGACTCACAGTAACCTTATGTACAACAGAATAAATTACTGCCCTGTTCTCTATGCCATCCTCACAATTGTTACGTTTGAGCCCACACAATTGCTATGTTGTTATGTTGCTGGTGCCATTGTGTTATATTGCTCCCATCTCAGTGGGAGTCTTCCTTTTTTTACCCCTGACCCTCCACTTTATCAAGTATTTATAATATTCTTTGGAATATTATCCATAGCTTGTCATGAACCACATAGTTAGTAAAGCACAAGTAAAGATCTTTCTAGTATTCTCTGCTTTCAACCAAGATCCATCTGAGGTCCCAAAGATATCCCTAGTTCCACCTCCTCTTCTGATTCTGGCTTGAATATCTGGCAGTTAGTTCACTGTCAATATACTGTCGCAACTGTTTTAAATTATCTTTAGCAAACTTTTACTTGCATATGATATTAATGGTATTCTTCACTGATTTTCATATGCCTTTGGGTCATTTCTCCTTGAAATAGGCACAGATAAGATCTTTTCAATTGGTTGGCCACATAACTGTTTCCCCCAATTTCTTGGCATAAATCAGTGTGTGCCTCCAGTGCTACATCTATTTGGTCAAAAATTTCAATTTGTATTCCATCAGTTTCTGTTAACCAATGCCTTTGGAGCAGCTTAGACTTCTTCCTTCAGTAGCATTGATCATACGCTACCTCTCGAAATGGTTGATACTAGAGATCAAATGATAGAATTCTGCAAGCCCAATGACTTATTCATTCCAAACACCTTTTTAAAAAAACAGATGGAATACACACAAATCAAACTGATGACATCTGTGACAAGAGATGGTAGAAAAGTTCAATATCATCTGCCAAAACAAAACGGGGGCAGATTGTGGAGCAGACCATCAACTCCTCATAGGCAAGGTTAGGCTAAAGCTGAAGAAAATTAAAACAATTTAGAGAACTGCTTGTTAAACATTTACTATTTCCTACTTCTATCTTTCTACAAACGACTTCTTTTAACATTTAGTTTAATATGATAATAAACAAAATCTACTCTTTTCAGAGGAAACACTTTAAGAAAGAAATGGAGTTTGCAGAAGCTTAAGATAACATTATCCTACCTTCATATTTTCTTTCACGGGCTCCAAACTCCCAGTTAGTAGCCTTGGAAGACGAACTACTAGATCTCTAGTCTAGAGTTACAAAAAACATAATATATTATTAACACACACGTACATTAACCTAACTTATACAACTACATTAACAGACATAAAGCCAAAATGTATGATAGGATCCAGTCAGTGAAATGCTAAGAACCAGAAAAATACATGAACTTAATACTGAGGTTAAAACAAATGCTGAAAACAAAACTGAAAGAACTAATAATGTGAATGGAGTAAAATTCAAGACTTTCATTTAGTAATGTGACATGATTCAAAATAATAATACTCATACACATTCATTAATAATCCCGAATGTGGAATGTATGACGTATGAATCTATAAAAACTAAAGTCATCAAAAAAGAAATGGAACGTATAAAGATCATGTGGTGTAGTGAATTATCTAATGTCTCTTCTAGCCATTGGTTTTGTTAGGTGCCATCAAATCGGTTCTGACGTATAGCAACCCTATGCAAAACAAAACAAAATACTGCCCAGTCCTGCGCCATCCTCACAGTTGTTGTTACACATAGCCCATTTGCTTCTGCCACTGTGCCAATCCATCTCACTGTAGTTCTCGTCTAGCTACAGAAAAGATATTAGATATGTTAACTCCTACCAAACAATGTTTCTGCCTTGCTGAGTCTGGGTAAAAGAAGGTGGGATAAGATACCAATAGAATAACATGATTCAGCTGTGAAGGTTAACCTGTACATAGACCAAGAGGCAGTTGTTTGAACAGAATAAGGAGACACTGTACGGTTTAGAATCAGAAAGATATGCCTCAGGGTTGTACCCTTTCAACATACTTATTCATGGTGAGCAAATAATGAGAAGCTAGACTACACGAAGAAAAATATGGCATCAGGATTGGAGGAAGGCTTATTAACAACCTGTGATATGCAGATAACCTTGACTGATGAAAATGAAGAGGACTTGAAGCACTTACTGATGAAAATGAAGAACCACAACCTTCAGTATGGATTACAAGTTAACATGAAGAAAACAAAAATCCTCACAACTGGACCAATAAGCAACATTATGATAAACAGAGAAAAGAATGAATTGCGAAGGATTTAATTTTACTTGAATCTACAATTAATGCTCATGGAAGCAGTAATCAAGAAATCAAATAATCTACTGCACTGGGAAATAGGAAGACCAAAGAAGAATTGTTGTATTTGAATTATGGTATTGGCGAGAAGAGTGAATATTCCAAAGTCTACCAGAAGAATAAACAAATCTATTTTGGAAGAAGTATACTGAGCTATTCCTTAGAAGTGAGAATGCAGAGACTTGGTCTTATGTAGTACACTGGACAAATTATTAGGAGGGACCAGTCTCTGGAGAAGGACATTATGTTTGGTAGGGGGATTAGTGACAAAGGGAGTCCTGGTGTGGCGCTGTGGTTAATGTGCTAGATTACAAAGTCGGAGGTTCAAGCTCACTAGCCACTCCTTGAAAACCCTATTCAGAGTTGCAATGAGTTTGAATCCACTTGAAGGCACTTAACGACAACAGTAGTGAAAAAGAGGAAGACCCTCAAGGAGATGGCTTGACACAGTGGATGCAACATTGGAATAAAAGCACCAATTGTGAGGATGGCATATTCTTGGAATCTAACATCAGCATGTATTTAGCTAAGCAGGGCAATTCTTTCTTTTACAGAAATAGCAAGCATTTATAGGACTCACAAGCAGGTGTAAGAACTAGGAAGTTGAGCATTTGTGAAATGTACATGACATGAAATTGTATAAATTATCCTCTTTACCTTCTTCACATTAAGTTCAAGTTCTTTCTGAAAAAATCCCAACCTGTTATCCAACCTTTCCACTGAAAAATTCAGCAAAAAGGGTGCATTTTTGACCATCTGTGTAATATCTGCCTTACTGAATTTTTTTGACTGTAGATAAGTCACCCTAAGAAAACAAACAAATAAAAATATGGTAAACATTTATACTAATGCTGTTTTTCAAAGTAACAATACTTTTCAATGTTAAAAAGACTATCATATAAAATTTTTTTTTTAAAAAAGAGGAAATATTCTGTGATGACCAAATACAGTTCAAAGCAAACAAGTATCCACTCAACTTTAGAATAATTTCTATTTATACTTGAAAACAAAAATAATTCTGAAATTCACTACCAGGGACATTCCCTTATTCTGATTTATTTTATTACTTCGAAGGAGAAAAAATTATATGTAGTTCAAGAACTTTTTGGTTGTTGTTGCTAAGAAAGGAAAATGCTCAAATTAAAAAGATACTCAGAACTCTTTTTATAAAGAAAGCACCTCAAACACACTTATGATTGAGAGAGGAATTTTTTTTCAGTATATTTATTGAGTATGTGGAGTCATGGTGTGGCGGTCTAAAACCAGCAGTAGGCTGCTCACCATAAGAGCAGGGGTTTAAACCCTCTAGCCACTCCTTGGAAACCTTGTGCTGGGTTGCTATGAGTTGGAACTGACTTGACAGCACTTAACAACAACAACACTGAATAAACATTTTTATAAACCAGTCAACAATTTTTTACTAAGTCTTTCAAAATGTTTTTTATTAATAAAAGAAATTTTTTTAAGTTCCTGAAAACCAAAGTAAGGTTGTACAATGTGGAAAGTTTAATGATAACACTTTTGATTTTTTTAAAAATCTAGAAAGTTAATAAGAGGCAGCTTTTATTTTCAATATGCCAGGGCATTATCTTGTTTAATTCTCACCAAACAACCACAACAAAAGTATCTGCTACCTAGATAGATCATTCCATGTTATATCTGAAACAGATTCAGAGGTTATATAACTTGTTTTGATACCAAGCTAATCAGTGATAAAGCCCAGATCTGAACTCTGCAATATCTACAATTAAAGCCTGTGACACCAAGCAGCAGTCTATCATGTTGGTGGTGTTGTGTGCTGGTGAGTTGGTTCCAACTCATGGTTAGCCTGGACGGCATTTCCCAGGATGTAAATCTTTACAGAAGCAGAAAGCCTCATCTTTTTCCAGCAGAGCAGAGAAATACTGACCTGTGGTTAGCAGTCTAGTGCCTATCCTGCAGCACCACCAGGATTCCTTAAGTCATAACTGGCCCTTTCAAGTGGTCCATGAGAGAAATAAAATGGATAAATTCACGTATATAAAAACGAAAACTATCTGTATTGCAAAAAAACACTGAATAAAACCAAGAGACAGGAGCCATTCTAGGAAAAATACTTGCAACAAATCGCAAGAAAAGAACTAATTTTCTTAGTACATAAAAGAATTATAAAAAAGTTCAGTTAAAAACTGACCAAGTTCCCAGAACTAAGAACACCTCATCTTTACCAATAGTACTCTATTGGTAGAAAATGTAGTGCCGTCTTTCCTTGATGCATAGCATAGAGTGTGAGGCCAGCTACATGGAGTGGTCCCACTAAATTAAGGAGTGGAACCACGCTGCTTCCATGCTGAACCACTCCACAATTTCACAGATGAATTATCTTGCTAATGGTATTTTAGATGCAATACGCTATTTTTTAGTGTACCCTGTTTTAGGTGCACTAGAATCAAAACACGGAACACACTATATTTCTAAACAGCAAAGAGACAGAAAGATTATCCTAGCCAAATTCAATTCAAGTGACCTCCTCTAATAGAGAAGTCCTGGTGTGGCACTATAAGATAAGCAGTCGACTGCAAGGTCGGTTTAAACTGCAAGGTCAGCGATTCAAACTCATCAGCCACTCCTTGGAAACCCTATACAAGTTGCAGTGGGTCCGAACTGACTCAATGGCACCTAACAATAGCAACAACTCTAACAGAAGTAAACTTAAGCACCACACTGTAGTGCTCATTTCTCTCAATTAAACTTGATAGCTATAGCATTTTCATTTAAATAATTTCAAAACAGAAATGCAGACACTTTCTTGTTAAGTATGAAACTGCCAAAACAGGCTCTGTGAGTTCACATGTTATAGAGGATGTTAACTGAAAGCAAAATGTCAAAACAATGCAGTTCAATTAAGCTCCTGTAGACAACATGGAAATCACATATCAGGTAGACCCTGTGAAGAAAGCAGAGACTTTACCACTTTAGGGCTCCTCTTTGCATTCTTCTTCAAATTTTTTGAAGTAGGTTCTATAAAAAGTGTTTCTCACTAAGATGCTTCATCTTTTGTAAAGTGCTTGATGAAAGTTCCATGTTTTTAACTGAGCATTACAAATTATCAATTTGATTTGCAGATGCTGGTGAATGACAGCCTCACATCCTATAATATGCTGTGCAAGATACAATGATTGTTATGATGTTAACCTAAAATATATTTGTCTTTGGTTAAAAACAACAACAACAACAAAAAAAAACTGACAAAGGGCATACTATAGCTTATAGTAAAAGAAATGCATATAAAAATTTACTTATGAAAAGATGCTCCAAACATTAAATGCTCCAAACAATACTATTTCCAAAACAATAAGGTGTTGCTTTTATCTATAAAATTAACAGAAATTATAGTCTGATGCCACTGTATTAATGAGGATAATATAGAAATTGGTGCTTCCACACTGCTGGTAGTGAGAGAGTAAACTGTAAAGAAAACTATATGAAAGACAATTTGGTAATATTTATTCAAAGTTACCAATGTGCATGCCCTATGACCTAGCAATTCTACTTCTAGAATTTTTTTTCTACAGTTACACTTCTGCATGTATGAAGTGATAATACACAGAGAACCAGAGTGGCTATGTTTCCAAGGGCAGGAGACTGAAAACAACCTCCATGTTTATCAAGAGGGGATTGACTAGATCCATACTATGAACTATATTATTGTTGCAATTCAGCTGATGCTGACCCATGGTAACCACATATGAGCAGAGTAAAACCGCTCCTTAGGGTTTTCATGGCTATGGCCTTTCAGGTCAGATCACCTGACCTGTCTTCTGGGTGAAATTTTAACTGCCAACCTTTCAGTTAATAGTCAAATACTTCATCATTTGTGCCACTCAGGATTCCAAAGATGTTAATGACAAGCTAATTAAAGAAGAAAAAAGGAACAACCAAACAGCAAATTTATGGAAATGATTAAGCAAATTATTCAATAATTTATCAAGAGAATATCAAGTATCTACGATCAAAAGTTAGCCAGAATAAAGCACAAAAGTTTGGATTTTTATAATCTTCTTGTTGTTAAGTGCTGTCGAGTCGGTTCCGACCCATAGCGACCCTGTACAGGATTTCCGAGGGTGTAAATCTTTACGGGAGTAGAAAGCCTCATATTTCTCCCGCGGAGCGGCTGGTAATTTTGAACCACTGACCTTAAGGTTCGCAGTCCGATTCGTAACCACTACGCTACCAGAGCTCCTTAGCTATTTGTTAATCAACTTTTTAAGAACTTATTCCAGTTTCTGAAGAAAATGATCTAAGTGACTCAGTAATAAGGTAAAACAAATAAAGGAGATCTGAATAAAGAGCTCCATTTTAGATATTTAATTTAAATCAAACGTCCATAGCAAGAAATTGACATTCACATTCTTTATCTCAGTAGACCCTTGTATAATAGAGACTTAATAATATAACTTAAACATATACTTTCTCCTTAAATTTTGGTTATACAAGAATCACTCTTATCCTACCTGATCCTAAGATTTTCAAGGTCTTCAGAGAAAATTGCGTAATTTTTCGTCAGGAATGATCCTAGTTGGTTATCCTCTATACCCAAATCTTTCAGAAACAAGAGTATTTGCTTAATGTCTTTTTCAAAATCTAATCTCAGAAGGAGGTTGGCTGCATCTGGGTGCTTTTCTATCTTGGACAAATCCACTCCTATGAGAAACCACAAACACTGTTAGAAGGTAGTTGTGTAGCTCTGCCACTAAAACTTCCAAATGATGGGGCTTCAAAAAATTTGTGGAAAAATTCCAGTATCTTTTAATTCCATTTTTTCCATGAACTTTTTTAAGTCCCCTCCTACAGGCAGAATACATTGCTGATGCAGATCAACAACCTTTCTAAAGGAATTTCTAAATATTATTAAATCAAGCTGGTTACAGAGATAAAAGCAAATTAAAATGAAAAGAGAATATTTACTTCAGTCAAATATGGATAAATACAGCGCATCTGGGGCTAAATATTCCCCTAATAAACAAGTTCACCAAGTCATACAGACTTACAATCTTCATCTTTGTATGCATTTTCTTGAATATTATTTCAAATATGCTTATGAACCCCGAATGCTACAGGGTAACAAACTAATGAATAAATGGATTTGTATTCCTCACTAACAATAAACATTATTTTAAAAATATACTTGTGGTTACCTCTAAAGAGGGAATAAAAATGACCATGTGTCTTATGCACTATTGTAATCTCTAGGTCGTTAGCACACAGACAAGCAGTCTGAAGAATCTCATTAGGTGTTGAAGAGAGAATGGATGAAGATATACAGCCTTCAGTACAGAGGGAGCAGAATGTAGCCAAACCTTCAATTCTCACTTATCCTTAGACTCTTAGGTCATCTGAGTCAATGGAGCACGGAAAAGAGAGAAAGAGTATGAAGGGGGTTGAAATCAAGTTGCTACCCTAAAGCTTTTTTTGATTACAGATATAATTGGATGTCAACTTTAAATGGGCAAGAAAGTAAAGCAATCTGTATTTCGAAATTGTTAAAATTGAGCGTGTTATTCTTTTTTTTCTGATTAAAAAACAAAGAACAAAATGAAATTAAACATGAATAGAAAAGGCCTTTATATATTGTTAGGATAAATCTTTGAAGATGATGTAAAATCTATGGTTTGATGCAAATTTCACATCCTTCAACATATTTACTCTGATTAAAACTAGCTCTCCCAAACCAATTTCTAGATACAGCTTTGGAGTCTTAAATACAAAAGCAATAAAAAGTTTCCACAGTCAATTCCAAAATAAAATATTATATTCAATAAAATTCTAACTACTAATAAGTCTAACTTCTTATCCCAAATTAAAATTTTTTGGACATTACATTTTCAAAAAACACTTTTATATTAAACACATATACACTGAAAGTACAGAAACAGAGCCAGAATGAATTTGTTGTTGTTGTTTTGTACCATGGAGTCGGTTCCAACTCACAGAGACCCTTACAGGGTTTCCGAGGTTGTAAATCTTGATGGGAGCAGAAAGCCTCATCTTTCTCCCGCAGAACAGCTGGTAGTTTCGAACTGCTGACAGTGAGAGATTAGCAGCCCGATTTGTAACCACTACGCTACCAGAGATCCTTATAAATTTAGTATACAGTAACTTTACATTGGAGTCCTAGTGTGGCGCTGTGGGTTAATGCGTTAGACTGCAAAGCTGTTTGAACTGCAAGGTCTGTGGTTCAAGTTCATCAGTTGCTCCTCGGAAACCCTATACTGAGTCGCTATGGTTTGGAACCAACTCGACGGGCACTTAACAACAACAATTTAAAATTAATGACAATAATGATTTGTTTATTAAAATAGATGATTAAAACAGATTGGGACCACTGGCTATACATTTGGAAAAAGAAAAAGAAGTCTTTTCTATATATTATACAAAATTTAAATTCTAAGTAGATTAAGAATCAAAATGTATATTATTCTAAAACTACTAAAAGAAAACACATAATTAAAAAAATATATTGGAAATGGAAAAGGTTTTCCTGCATACGACACCATAAACATACAGGTAAATATAAACGTTTCATTATGTCAACGTATAAAGCAAATAGCTTTCTCCAAGATCTATATGTGCATAAAAGTCTGAAAAGCCAGCCAATGACCTGGTAAGAATGGTTACCTTTGTGAAGTGAAATGGCAATGGAGAGAGCACAGAGATCTGTAACCTTAACAACTACATGGGATTCTTTTATAAGAAAAAAAACTGATATTAATAGTAATAGAAAAACTGATTAAATTGTCTAAAATGGAAGGCAGTCTAAAAAATCTACCATAAATGGTAGAGGGGGCATGCTTTAAAAAATAACATGTGACCTCAAGTGTACCAGAGATTACAGCTTGCATGCTCTGTAGTGCCTTGCTCAGCCTGAAACCCTGAAATACACATCACCTGGCTCACTAGTGATTCCATTCACAAAAAAACCCTTTCACTGAATGCCTACTATGACCCATGTACTTCTGTCAGGTAGTGAAGATACATAAAATGAATACTATGTGATTCTCACTGCTGGGTAATCACAGTCTAAGTTGGCTTTATCTTGGCTTAGCAACTACAAAGACTACTACTGTATTCACTGATAGTTACACATATTCAGTACATCTATGAGGGTTCTGGTGTGGCGCTGTACGTTAATGCGCCAAACTGCAAAGCTGTCTGAACTGCAAGGTCAGCGATTCAAGCTCACCAGCCGCTCCTTGGAAACCCTATACAGGGTCGCTATGGGTCGGAACCGACTCGATGGCACTTCACAACAACAACAACATGAGGATTCTGGCAGGCAACAGAAATTGTCCCAGTAAGTTCAAAAGAGCTTTCATGAAGGGGGTCTCTACAGGGATATGAACAGGAAAACAAACAAGAATATCCTAATTCTAAAGGGACAAGGGAGGAAAGAAGTGTTAACCACTGGCGCCCAGAGGAGCTGGAAGCTATTATGGAAGGGCCGCTCAGTAAGAGTTGTTGTCATGGAGTTACATAATCCAAAACAGGGCGGGAACAGGAGAAAATAACCCCACCTGCCCTTAGATTAACCTGGTTGAATCCAGAAACCAGCTGGCAAGGGAGCCCTAGTGCATAGGGGTTAGCCTCCTGGGACACAGAACAGGCAGCAGGAGGTGGAAAACAGATCTGCGAAGCAAACAGAGATTAATCAGCACAGCTGGGTGCTCAAAATTTCATGGAACACTGCAAACATGGTCTCTCTAAGCATACTGTCATTTAAGTTATTTTTAAGATCCAGTGTCAAAATATCCAATATAGAGGACAAAATATACTCCACAGTTCTTTGTATACCATAAATTATTTAATGACAGGGACCACATCTCCTATTTATCTTGTGTCATCCACAAAGCCTTCTGAGACAGCTGTTCAGAAAAGACAGGTGAGTAGCTCTCCTGCTCTCAGCACACGGCATTCTTCTCCCTCCTCTGAACCCAACTAACACTTCACATCTCTCTCTCATGTGAGGCTTATTACACCATATACTCCAGTTTTTCAGATCAGCAAACAAGGGGAGTAGCAACAGATGAACTTGCAAACCTAAGCAGGGGTCACATCATGAAGGGCTTCAGTGCTGTGGGTCGGCTTCGAAGGGTTTTCAGTAGGTCACTGACAAAGTCAGAGGTGTATTTGGAGCACTGGAGAGTCTTAGGACAATATTGCTGGTAAGGAGACTTAAATTAGCAGATTTCTCCAATCACTGAGTGAAAAACGAGGATCTATGCTAGTGACTGGAGTCCTGGTGTGGCACTGTGGGTTAATGCACCAAACTGCAAAGCCATTTGAACTGTAAGGTCGGTGGTTCAAGCCCACCACTCGCTCCTCGGAAACCCTACACAGGGTCCCTGTTGGTCAGAATCGACTCGACGGCACTTAACAATAACAACATTCTAGTTAGTGACTGCAGATGAGAGAAGCAGATGGATTTGTGATATACAGAGAAGCAGAGTTCATGGAATTTGATGCTAAATTCGATGTGAAGAGTGAGGGAAAAAGCAAAAATCAAGAAAGACTTTGAAACGCTTCCAGCACAGTAAAGGTTTTCCTCTCCTTATAAAAACTTAGCACCTCCTCCCCTCGAACATATGGAGAGCGAAAAAAAAAGAAAAAGAAAAATGCTCCCTCTCTAACGAAACATGACTTCTCTATAAGCTCACCCTATCAGAGATGAAAATAGATGGGAGAGTGGTACCAGACATAACAGAGAGGTGACAGAATTGCCTGCAAAAGAGAACTGTGACAAGAAGTCACTAGATATTTGAAAGTTTTGGGGTGAGGTGTAAGATGAAAACAGGGGAATAGGTAGGGCATGACTCCATATGGAAAACTTCAGACTCCCAAGTCCCTTAGCTATCCTGTTCCTCTCAGTTCCCCCACAAAAAGGGAGGTTCATTGTCTGGGAAAATGAAGTAAGAGCTGTCCAAGTTGTAGAAGTAATGGGCAAAACAGAGGGCTAAAATACGGTGCTAGATGAACAAGAAGGGGACTAAGTAACAGAAAGCAGTAATATTCTCTGGCCACCTGCAACTATTCACACTCACCCACAGAGTAATAGTTAATAGGCTATGACAGTTATACAGCAGGGCCCCAAGTGCAATCATTTAAATCAGGAGCATGGAGGCCGGACTGATCATGTGGCCAGGTTAACCGTAGGTAAAACTCCACTGAGAGAGGCTATCGTAATGCATAGGAAAACTAATGAGATGAAAAACAAGGCAATGACTGATGCCAGGAAAATGAAAAGCTGTACAGGAAGGAAAACAATCATAATGTATGAAGGTGCTTCAAAAAGTTCAAGGAAAAGTGGAACTAATTGACAATGGAATTTTCCCACACACTTTTTATAGCACCCTCGTACTTCTTGATAGAACAGCAAACGATGTTTATCGCCATATATTCTAGTCACTGACTACTGATTTATCTAAAAATTGGAATATAATGAGATTGGAAGAATCGAAGAGAGTAGGGAAGAGTGTGTGTGTCGTCTAAAACTGATGAGCCAAGCACCAGCACTATAAACAATTACTTAAAACTGGAAGGGTCATACAACCAACAGCAGATACCTCTGGGGATGAGATGCAAGATTAGGAAGGGTAAAGCAGGACATTTTGTCACTAGAAGTCTTCCACATTATCTTAACTTTTGCTCATGGGTACGCATTACAAAGATAAATTAAAAATGTTAACGAAAAGAATAATGCACAAAAACAACCAAATGAAGAACACAGGCTCAGGAAGTACTTGTAGGCTGCTTACACTTACCTAGAAGCACCAACTTCTGCAGAGTCTCTGAGTGGTCCACATAGTCTCGAAGCGTGAATGAAACTGGGGGCAAGGGAGGGTCTGCAACAATTCCAATAGCCTCCTCCTCAGATATGGGCTGCAGTGGAGACAGTGGAGGCAAATCTTCTAGTTCTTTGAAGCCAGTCATGTGCAAGGAGAGAAGCAAGTTAGCTCTCTAAAAATGCACACTTAAAATAGCTTCTGCAAAGACAACTTTGTACCCAGTTTGCTCCTTTCACCGGTGAAATCTTGGGATCATTCAGAATCTAACAAGTCCAAATATTTTATGTCTACTCAGAAACCCTACACAGGTTTGCCAGGAGTCGGAACCGACTTGATGAGAAGCAACAACAAGGAATAAGGTTAAGACTGTTTAGAGACCAAAACACTGTTTCTCTAAGGTAAGAACTTTGTTGGTAAGCTTCTAGGCACACAACTTCTTTCCTTTCCTCCTTCCTCTTGACTTAAAAAAAAAAAACAAAAAAAAAAAACATAGTAAAATCCATATGAAGGGGGTTTCAAACGTTTGTGGAAAAATTCCATTATCTTTTAATTCCATTTTTCTACAAACGTTTTGTTTGAAGTTCTTCTCATATGAAAATTTGCATCAAAAACTTGTAAGTTTACCTCTGTTGCTAACTCTTGCATTCCTCCCAGTATCTTCCCCTGCTTTCTCCACTTTTTGCTATTTTAACCTCCAAATAGGCAATTTAGTGATATTAACACCCATTGCATTGTGCAACCACCACCACAATTTCCAAAACTTTCATTACCTCCAACAGAAACTCAGTATCCCTTAGGCATGAATCCTAAGGGGTACTCCCTTTGATAATGACAAATACATTTGATCTCTGTGCATCTGCCTGTTCTACTAGGTAGTTCATATAAGTAGGATTGTACAATATTTGCTTTTTTTGTATCTACCTTATACTTTCAATATTTCATCCTTTGTGGGGGAATAATATTCCATTGTAGGCATATGGTGTCTTTTGCTTATCCGTTCGTCTGTTGATGGATACTTGGGTTGTTTTCTACCTTTTGGTTATTGTGAGAAATGCTGCAATGGACACTGATTGACAAGTATTTGTTTGAGAGCCTGTTTTCCAGTCTTTGGGGTGCATATGTAGAAGTGAAATTGGTGTGATGCTGTAGAATAAGTACTGGACTGCTAACTGCAAGGTCGGCAGTTCAAACCACCACCTAGCCACTCCTCAAAAACTCTATAGGGTCACTGTGAGTCAGAAACAATTTGACAGCACTTAAAAACAACCACATGCTAAGTAAACTTTCTGAGAAGTCACCAAACTTTTCCACAGCAACTGTAGTATTTTAAGTATAGCAGAGCTCCAATAACTCCATATCCGTCCACCGTGTGCCACTTTCCAATGTTTTGGTAATACCCATGCTAGCGGTTGTGAAGTAGCACCTCATCGTGCTTTGGATTTGCATCTCCCTTATGACTGAGAATCGTTTTATGTACTAAGTGCCATCTGTATATATTCTTTGGTGAAGTGTCAATTTAGTCCTTAGCCCATTTTTGATTGGCTTATTTGTCTTTTGGGTTTTTAAGCTGTACGCATTCTTTATATATTCTAGATACTAAATCCTTATCAGATATACGGCTACCAAATATTTTTCTTCCATTGTGTAGCCTGTCTCTTCACTTTCTTGGTAAAGTCCTTTGATGCACAAAAGTTTTTCATTTTGATGAAGTACAATTTGTTTGCTTTTTGTGTGATTTTGGTGTCCCACCTAAGAAACCATTGTCAAAAACAAGGCCTTAAAGGTTTACCATGGTGCTTTCTTCTAAGAGTTTTGTTTTAGTTCTTATATTTAGGTCGCTGATATATTTTGAGTTAATAGTTTTACATGGTGTGAGGTATGGTTTCAAGTTCATTCATGTTCATGTGAATATCCAGTTGTCTGGGCATAATTTATTGACAAGACTATTTTCTTCCTCATTGAATGGAGGCACTCTTAAAAATCAAAGGACCATTTATGAGGAAACTTCAAAAGTTTATGGAAAAATTGAATTGAAAAATAATGCAATTTTCCCATGAACTTTTTGAAGCCCCCTCAGTATGTACAGCATATTACTGAACTCTTCAATATATTCACAGGTCTATATGTCTAACAATATATCAGTACCACACTGTTTTAATTACTGTATAGCTTGATTACTGAAACTTTAATGGTACATGTTGAAATTTCCTCTTCACTTTTCATCACCAAAGAAAAATGCTAAAGACTAAACTTCAAGTATATTTTGAGAGATAATGAGTTTATCATGTTGTTGTTGTTAGGCGCCATCAGGTCGGTACCGACTCATAGTAACCCTATGCAAAACAGAACGACACATTGGCCAGTCCTGGGCAACCTCACAATTGTTGTTAAGTCTGAGCCCACTGCTGTGCTAATCCACCTCACTGGGAGTCTTCCTCTTTTTCTCTGCCCCTCCACTTTACCAAACTTGATATCCTTCTCCAGTGACTGGTCCCTCCTGGTAATATGTCCAAAATATGAGAGACAAAGTCTGGCCATCCTGGCTTCCAAGGAGCAAGCAAGCACTCTGTTGTACTTCTTCCAACACAGATCTGTTTGTTTTTTTGGCAGTCCATGGTCTTTCAATATTCTCCTCCAGCACCATAATTCAAATGTATCAATTCTTCTATGGTCTTCCTTATTCACTGTCAAACTTTCAAATGCATATGAGGTTACTGAAAATACCATGGCTTCAGTCAGGTGCACCTTAGACTTCAAGCTGACATCTTTGCTTTTCAACATTTTAAAGAGGGCTGGTGCAACAGATTTGCTTAATACAATATGTCCTTTGATTTCTAGACTGCTGCTTCCATAAGTGTTAATGGCTGATTCAAGCAAAATGAAGTCTTTGACAACTTCAATCTTTTCTCCATTTATATGGATGCTGTTATTGGTCCAGTGGTGAGGATTTTTGTTTTCTTTATAATGAAATGCAATCATACCAAAGGTTGTGGTCTTTGATCTTCATCAATAAGTATTTTAAGTCCTCTTCACTTTCAGCAAGCAAGGTTGTATCATCTGCATATCACAGGTTGTTAATGAGTCTTCCTCTAATACTGCTGCCATGTTTTCTTCATAAAATCCAGCTTCTCAGATTATTTGCTGAACATAGATTGAATAAGTATGGTGAAAGAATATAACCATGGCACAGAACTTTCCTGATTTTAAACCATTCAGTGTTCCTCATAAGCACAATTAAGTATTCCGAAATACAATAAAATTCATATTTTGCAATGTTGTCGATAGCTTGTCATGATCCACACAATCAAAAGCCTTTGCGTAGTCAATAAAGCACAGGTGAACATCTTTCTGGTATTCTCTGCTTTCAGCCAAGATCCATCTGACATAAGCAATGATATCCTTCATTCCACGTCCTCTTCTGAATCTGGCTTGAACTTCTGGAAGTTCTCTATCAATGTATGATTGCAGCCGTTTTTTAATTACCTTTAGTAAAACTTTACTCGTATGGGTTATCAATGAAATTGTGCGATGATTTCCATATTCCGTTGGGTTACCTACCCCTCTTTGGAATGGGCAAAAATACAGATCTCTTCCAGTCAGTTGGCCAGGGAGTTGTCTTCCAAATTTATTGGCATAGATGAGTGAGTGTCTACAGTGCTGCCTCACTTTGCTGAAAAATTTCAATTATTATTCCATCAATTCCCAGTGCCTTGTTCTTTGCCAATGCCTTCAATGCACCTTGGACTTCTTCCTTCAGGGGATCATTGGCTTTTGATCATACGCTACCTCTTCAAACGGTTAAGCATCAACCATTTCCTTTTGGTACAGTGACTCTGTGTATTCTTTCCATCTTCTTTTGATGTTTTCAGCATCATTCAATAATTTGCCCAGAAAATCCTTCAATACTGCAAATCAAGGCTAGAATTTTTTATTCAGTTCCCTCAGCTTGAAAAATGCTGTGAGTGTTCTTCCCTTTCGGTTTTCTAACTCCAGGTCTTTCCACATTTCGTGATAATATTTGACTTTGTCTTCTTGAGTTGACCTTTGAAATTTTCTGTTCAGCTCCTGTACCGCCTCATTTCTTTTTTTTTGGCTGTAGAATTTATTTTAATCAACTATTTGAAAAGACAAAAAAAACAACATATTTCAACAATCTCTTTGCTTTGCGACACACTTTGTCCATCTGTAAACAGCCTTATTAAGAAATGTTTTAGGCTGAGTTGTGATCCACAAATGCACGACTGTCTTCAATTCTTCATCAGAGGTGAATTTTTGTTTTCAAAGACCTGTTTTCAGGGGACTAAACAGGCAGAATCTGACGGAGCAAGATCAGATGCTAAGGAGGATGCTTTAACACCTCACAATGAAATTTTTACAGAATGTCAACAGTGTGAGCAAAGATGTGTGGATGTGACTTTTCATGCAAGAACACAACTCCCTTGGATAGCAGTCCTCTGCCCTTTAATCCAAAGTACAGGCGTCAGCTTTTCAGTGAGCATCTCACTGTAATGAGCACTGACCTCCTCATTTCTTCCATTTGCTTTAGCATTGCTATGCTGGAGAGCAAGTTCCAGAGTCTCTTCTGACATCCATTTTGATCTTTTCCTTCTTTCTTGTCTTCTTATTGATCTTTTGCTTTTTTCCTGTATGATGTTCTTGATGTCATCCTACAACTTTTCTGGTCTTTCATCTTTAGTGTCTAATGCATCAAAAATCTGTTCTTTAGATGATCTCAAAATTCAGGTGGGATATATTCAAGGTTATATTTTGGCTCTCGTGGGCTTGTTTTCATTTTCTTCAGCGTGAATCTGCCTATGAGCAATTGATCTATTTCACAGTCTGCTCCTGGCCTTGTTTTGGCTGATGATATGAAGCTTTTTCATCGTGTGTTTCTACAGTTGTAGTTTATCATAGTTGTTCAAAAGAACAACCTAACACTACCAGTCTGAAATGTCAAAATCATCCTGAAATGTTTAGGATTGCTTTGATCCAATCCCACTCCCCATGACCCCAAGTTATTCTTAAACATGTCTTTATGAGAGATTCTATGAATCTGTTTCTATCACCTACAGTCCTTTGCTAACGACATGACCCTGGTCCCACTGTAGTATAATTTGCAGATCTTTTTATTTAGTCTTTCTTTTTCATTAATCCCAAGACAGAAGACATTGAAACTGTAACCTAGCTTAAGGTAAGGAATGAGGACTATGATCTTTTGTTGTAGTTTTGCTGCTAATCACAACCATTCCTCATTTGCCATAGTTGGTCTCCTCTTTGAATCTCACCTCCCTTTCTTTCAGTCAGTTAAGTAGATAATATTACTTAACCTAGTATTATCTCATTTGTGGTGCAATATTCCTAAAATACTATGTAAAAACGTTGTTTGTCTGTGCCCTGCCCCCTCCCTCTATCCTAAACCTTCCAAACCAACTGCTGACCCCATATGGTTCGAGCAGAACTGTGCTCCATTGGGTTTACAATGACTACTTTTTCAGAAGTAAATCACCAGGTCTTTCTTCTAAGTGGCTTGGGATATTAAACAAGAACTTGGTTTCTCTTCTAAATGCCAAGCCTTCACTAGTGCTTGTCTGAATTGAAAAGTACCCCATTTGTTTAATTTTTAATGCACCATCCTGTTTCCAATGGAAAGAAAACATCTCCATAGACAGAACTGCCAACTCATTTCTTGTAACTAATTGTTAGGTAGAAAACCAGGGGCAGTGAGTTAAGTGAAAAGGTCTAAAAGTAACCGTATCACTTTTATAACCGTATTTCTAAACATGGCTATAGGCAGGCTAAGAGTCCTCTGCTAGGTTTCTCTAGCGGTCTGAAAGGGACATACACTCCCCTCAATCTCAATAACGTTGTTGCTGTTAAGTGCCGTTGAGTCCGTTCCAATGCATAGCAACCCTGGATGGGGTTTCTGAGGAGTGGTTGATGAACTTGAACTGCCAACTTTGCAGTTCAAAACAACTTTGCATTAACCCATAGTACCACATATCTGTAAAATAAAAACTCCTAGGCCCTTGTTCTTTCTAAGGGCAAGTTGACTGCAGAAGTGAATACAGCCAAGTTACTTGATGAAAATTTGCTTTGCTTCTGCTAACTAAACTTTCACTGAGTTTATGAAGCCTTAAACACTTCAACTATTTATTTGATGATCATTGCTGTTAAATTGTTTTTCTGATAACTTATATCTTTGATTAACATTTTAAACTAATCATTATATACTCTAATCACCTTCACACAGTAAAATAGTGTACAGAACTGAATTAAAAGGAATTACAAAAGCACATATTTCTTCTCAATGAAGCCCTACTCCTATGACACATACATTTATTTAACAAACCCCCAGTTTTAAGACCTACTGGCGTTGGAGTAATTCAATATCCATATGCCAAGGCAGATGGGGGTAGGAGGTAGAGAGTAAACTTGCTTCATATCTTCTACCATATATGCAATGAAACCAAAATTGAGTATAGACCTAAATGCAAAACCGAAAGCTATACAACTTCTAGATGAAAACACAGCAGAAGACTGAATTTTACTAAATATAAAGTATACCCTAATAAACCTAATTACCACCACAAATAATTTTTTTTAAAGAATCTAAATAATAATGTATTTAGAAAGAAAATGTTCTACACATAGTAACAATAGTCCATAAACTATTTTCTTCATCAGTAAAATGAAGGTATAATAGAAACAAATGAATGGAATTGGCATTGTTCTTTTTCTAGCCTGGAACAAGGTATGACCTGAAATAGGTTAGCAGGATGTAGACAGACAGGCAGCTTTGATCCAACTACTGAAGAGAGGAGAAGGGGTAGAAGAGTGTTCTGGAAGTTCAGAATTACCTTCTAGAGACAACTCACAATCAGCATTGGGTATCTTTTGTGGTGCCTGTGACTGTTCATTCACGGAAGGAAGTCGAGTGCTTTGGGCAGAATTATTCTCTAGAGTACTTGAGTTGGCAGATTGGGAGCTGTTCCATACGCAGAAACTTCTGTAAGTCTTAATTCCCCACCGTAAAAAGCAATCGTCAGAGGACTTCAGAGGTTCAGCAGAAAAACCATGCAGCAATGTTTTTCTGGGTCTCAGCAAATGTTTTCTGAATTGTGCAGCATTAATGAAGCTACTTGACTTAATTGAGTTGAACCACCTGGGTATCTGCTGGGCTGACAGGGCCATTTTGCTTAAAGCAGCCTACAATGGAAAAACATAACCATGAAAAGAAGTAAAATTTATGTAAATGCTTAAAGCACTATTCAAATAACAAAAAAATAGTGGAAATTATTTTTTTCCTAAATGAAAGGTGGCAAATAACTGTAGACGACTAAAAGTGCCAAGTTTTCTTCATCCTAGAACAAGTCAAAAACAAGACGGTTTCAGTTATAAACCAAAAGACTTCTGAAATGGAAAGATAAAAACATGCTTTACAATTTGAAACCTAAGGACAAAATCACCAATGGCAGAAAAACAACTAAGGCTAAACCCCACTAACTAATCACTTAAGGAACCTAAAATGATGCAAGTAAGTGTTCTTGAAATTTGGCTGGAAAAACATTTTAGAAGCAGTTGCTAATTAAAATAGTAGTATTCAAATGCATTTTATGCAAGCCACAAGGACAGTGGTTCAAGCTCACCACTTGCTTCGTGGGAGAAAAATAAGGTTTTTGCTCCCTCAAAGATTAAAGTCTCAGAAACCCTATACAGGGCCACTCACTTTGGGTCAGAACCAACTTGTAAGCACTTACCAGCAAGTCACAAAATAAAGCCAGAAAGAAATCAATTCTTTTGTAAATGAATCATCAAAATATTATCATTGCTACATACAACAGTGCTTCATCCTCAGAGCTGAAATAGTTGATTTCATAAACAAAATGGTTAAAAGGGAATTGAACAAAACCAGTTTTGTCAAATTCTGCTTCACTGTAGGAAAAAGCAAACAGCTTCAAAAATAAAAGGTCAAAAGTACAAGCAAAATGAAGTGAAAGTACGTAAGTCACTAGTAATGAATATGCATATTTTGACTGAAAAAGTAGCTGTTTTTAGATGTTCCTCAAGAGAATCTGCTACTCATTTAAACTCCATAAATATGAAAGTATTTTGTACTTAGCCCAACTTAATTAGAAAATGAAATATGGATGCATATATTGTGCATTAAATCCATATACATACAATACAGTGTGGGGTCCAGCATATGAAAAATGCTCAGTAAACATTAGCATTACTAATACAAATGAATAGTGTAATTAATTTTGGCATTAAACTTCTTGTTTTGGTTCCCTAGCTAGCAGAATTCAGTCTGGTTTATGCTCTGAATTAATTTGACCAATTATTTGAGGGGCAAGCCTCTTCTGAAATTTGCTTAAGGAGGTTTCCTGAGATTTTTAAGAGTGAAAAAAATCTCACTGCCATCCTAAAAGGATTTTAGAAAGGAAATAAGTCGTCCCAATAACCTTGTGGGACACGCAATTTCTTGTAGGAAGACAGCGTCCAAATCTGACTGTTGAGTTTTTCTCTCAAACATAACATTTTTGCATTGTTCTCTGCACAGCAAATCATAAAGGCAGTAAGCTGGAATCCACAAGCTCAGCTCCTACTACCTTGATGAGACTAAGTTCCTTGCGGTTGTTGTTGTTAAGTGCTGTTGAGTCAGTTCTGAACCACAGTGATCCTGTATAGGGTTCCTGAGGACTAGCTGGTAAGCTTGAACTGCTGACCTTACAGTTCAAACAGCTTTGCAGTCTGGCGCATTAACCCACAGCGCCACATCAGGACTCCAAGTTCCTTGGCTCCACGATGTGGGTTTAGTAGCCCTTTCATATTTTTTTCCTTCTAAATTACAGGTATAAGATGATCCTGAAGGTCCCTGTCAACTCAAACTTTTTTTTTTTTTTTTAATGTTTCATTGTTAACTCGAACATTTTTAACTCTTATGTTGTCTGAGCACTTTGTCCTACTTTAACTCAAACCACTGAAATCTCGAGTTCACTACAAACCAGTGCTGTCAGTGAATTCTGACTCACAGCAATCCTACAGGGCAGAGTAGAAAGAACTGCCCCATGAAGTTTCCACAGCTGTGATCTTTACAGAAGCTGACTGCCACATCTTTCTCCTGAGGAGCAGCGAGGTGTTCAAAATGCCACTTCAGTTAGCAGGTGAGCTAACCACAACTCCTAAAGCCTTTCCAGATTAATACCTTTCCTATACTGTTGTTGTTAAGTGGTTGAGTTGTTTCCAACACATAGTGATCCTGTATGGGGTTTCCGAGGAGCAGCTGGTTGAGTTTGAACTGCCAGCTTGGTAGTTAAAAACGTCCTTGTGGTACAGTGTTTATCCTACAGTGCCACCCCAGGATTCCCTTCCTGTATGGTTGTTGCTAAGTTCCATCAAGTTGGTTCCTGTATTGTTGTTGTTCCGCGCCAAGTGGGTTTCAACTCATCGTGACCCAGTAAGGGTTTTCAAGGAATGGCTGGCGAGCTTGAACCACCACCCACCCCTTGCAGTTCAAACCGATCTTGCAGTTCAGCACATTAACCCGCAGTGCCGCACCAGGTTTCTGTATTGGGCAGGTAAAATTTAAAATTCCATTCCTATGCATTAAACGACATCACATATGCAACTAATGTCTCCCTTTTTCTCTTATTTCTAAGTGTACTTAAACAACTATCTATCCTTCTATTTCTATTTCCAAAGTCCTCAAAATGACATCTTCTCTACAACATCTCACTGCTGGGTGTTATTGTTGTTCAGTGTCGTCAAGTTGATTCTGACTCATAACAACCCTGTGTACAGCTGCATGAAACTGCCCAATTCTGCGCCATCCACACAGTCTTTCCTGTTTGAGCCCATTGCTGCTGCCACTATCCACCTCACTGGGGGCCTTCCTCTTTCTCACTGAACTTCTACTTTACCAACTTGGTGTCCTGCACAGACTTTTGGAAATATGCAAGTACTACAGACAAAGTCTTGCTATCCTAATTTCTAAGGAGCATTCTGACTATACTTCTTCCAAGGTACATGTGTTTGTTCTTCTAGCAGTCTACGGTATGGACAGTCGATATTCTTCACCAACACTATCATTCAAAGGCATCAATTCTTCTCTGCTTTTCCTTATTTATTGCCCAGATTAAACATGAATATGAAGCAATAGAAAATATCATGGCATGGGTAAAGCACACCACAGTCCTCAAAGTGACATCTTTGCTCTTCAACACTTTTAAGAGGGCTCTTGCAGCAGATCTGCCTAAAGTAACATTCTTTGGCTTCCTTTTTCATTACAAAACTGCCACTTAATTAATTAACAAGATACTGTTGTTATTGTTTCCAACTTCACTCTTGTGAAATCAGTACTTTGTGGAACTTAAGCATAAAGAGGGACAGCTCTCTCACTCTCTCTACAGGACTGTTGACAATGAATGACAAGTCATTCATTTAACTAAGACTTACTGAATACCTAATAGCAC